CTGAAAGGACCACATGGATAAAGACTTTATGGAGTACAGAACTACTCTGCTTAAGAACTCTGGGTGTACTTGTGTATGAAGATTGCAGCTTTCTGGATCTTGATTTAAGCCTTCAGTCTGCTGACTGCTTCTCAGAGATCTTCCAATCTGTTCCTTTCTGCTGAATGGGTCTTTTTAAAATAGAATGGCGAAACATCCCTATGGGCCACTCCACAGCTGTCTCTTTCCTTCCCCATTAGGTTTCGTTCCTCTCTTTCTCTCTGCTTTTACCCACCAATTCTTCATCTTTGGAGTAGGGATGGGGGTGAGAGCTTGTTAACATTGACCTGGCATTTTTAGAGGACCCAACTGCCAAACTAAACAGGCTCAGCTATTGGCATGGCCATTTGCTCTGTGATAGTGCTTTTGACATTTGGCTCTCCATTCTTAGGGAGAGATCAGTGGAATAAGGCTTCCCCAAAAGAAGCAGGAAGAGAGCAAGACCACAGTATTTCTACAATTTCTCTTCTGATGATAATGAGTAATCATGTTTGAACTAACGATACTCAGTCTGCCAGCCATGTTACGTTTTTGTCAGTGAGTGATAAAAGAAGTTGTACTAGAAAATGGGATGATAATGAGGAGGGTATGGTGTCAGGAAATATTTAAACAAAGGAGAGTCACTGTTTAGGCATGGAGAAAAAAATAATTTATTGTTTTAAGCTATATCATAAATTTAGACCTGAAAGCATAGTTTGTATATAAACCTAAGTATTTTTAACCTAATTTAACATATTCTAGTAATATCCTAGAGCAAGATACTGTTAGAAATTCAAGAATTTAAGAAAATGCAACATAGTAACATTTCACTACCTTTTACATTAATCTTTTAAGATAATTATAATTATATGCCTATTATATATACCCTTTGGAAAATAGAAAAAAAGGTCTCCATGAATTCACCTCCAAAAGACAGCCACTGTTAGTAATTGGCATATTTTCTTCTAGCCTTTTTCTTTTTGTATGGTTTTTAGTTTTGCATAGCAGTCATAAGACATTTTGCTTGCCTTTTAGTGGGATTTTTTTGGTCTTCAGTTGGAGTTGACTGTGGTTATGTACTGATAATGCATGTCTGTGATTTATTCTTTTCTTGTCATGAGGCTGAATAAGGAGTGCCTTAGTTCTTGGCCTGAATAAATTCTCTATATTCTTTTAACATAATACATTGTTCAGATTAGAAAGTGAATAATCCTTAGAGCAAAAGAGTGTGATGTATGTTTAACAACCACTTAAAATATATCAGATTTAAAAAAAAAAAGGCACAAATGGCTTGGGAGAAATGTGCATAACAAAGATAAGACTTGAAGGTTCTTGAGATGGGAAACGGTCCTTCAGAAGTGCTAGGATACATTATTGGTGTCTAGTAATATTTATTAAATGTGTAATTGTTATGACATGTAACATGGTGGTCTCAAGGCTGAGAGAGAAATATCTTTTTATCTAGAAGCATTTTAGAGGGGAATGTAGTGCAATAGAGGCACCAGTGTTGCCAGAATTAGAAATTATGATATTGTCTGCACTGCTGACTACTAATAGTTGCCACCTAAGAGACACCTTTGTTCAATATCATCACCAATAAAATGGTATGCAAAGCCTGAAATTTTTACCATCTAATCCTTCATAGAAAAAGTTTGCCAGTCCCTGATCCCAAAACCTGTCTTCTTTCATCTTCATTACCTTTGTCCTAACTGAGGCCTTCATTTCTTCTCTCTTGGAAAACCCAAGAGACTCTACATGTATTTTTTTTTTTTTTTTGACTGTAGTTTTGGACCTCCCAAATGTATTCTGCATAGAGGCTGTATCATTTTTAAAAATTTGGAAACACCATTTTTGCTTGCTTAAATTATTTGGGGCACCCTGCTGCACTCATATAGAGTCTAAGTGTCTTACCTCACACACAAGATTAGAAAATTACCACACTTTACTGAAATCTAAAGACCCTTACAATTATGAGAGACTAAGTTTTTATGTTACGTGACATATGCTGTATGAAAACCCAAACCAACTCTACCAGGCCTAAGTAAAAGGAGGCGACATATTGTCTCCCATACCTCAGACATCTATGAGTAGATCTAGCCTCAAGAAAGTCTGGATCCGGATTTCTAATTGAGTTGCGTGGGCTCTGTTTTTTTCTGTTGGCTCTCCCCTTCTGATTACGTGGAGGCTTTCATCTTGAGAGGTCTAGATTGCTGTAGCAGTTCCTGCCTCAGGTTTTTCCAGGTTTACATATGGTAGGAGAGAGGACAATTATTTCCCACTAATTCCTATGCCAGCTGTAAGGTCTTTCTGATTGGACTGCCTGGGTCATGTGATCAGGGATAAGCATATGTGCCGACTGGCTTAGGGCCAGTTCCCACATTGTAGCCCGGGAGTTAGAAGGGAGATCCCACCTGAACCATAAAGACTATATCTCCAAGTAAACATGTATTGTTGTGAAAGTGGCATGATTTGAGGTGAACTAGGACAAAACTACCAGTATTCACTGAGCACCCCAAGGGCGCGGGAGCCTTTTGACAGAAGCGTATAGGCAGTGCTCCGTACCTGGGCAGGCCGGCAGTGAGTATTTGGGGCTGCTTCCCATGGTCTTGTTGACTGCCTTCTCATGTGCACCTGGTCGTCACTTGGTTCTTCTGAGCACATGATAGAATGTTAAACTCGGAAAGATAGAACCGAAAGGAAGTTCACACATCATTGAGTCTATCTCCCTTATTTTACAAAAAAAGCAACATGTCGTGCAGAGAGGAGGAGGGGTCACAATTGTACGTAACTGTATTCTGGCACTGGAAACCTGGACAAATTACATGTCTGCTGCAAGATGTGCACACCATGCCAAACTCCAAAGTACATGCCATCCATTTTGAGTTCAAAATAGAATTAGGTGGGTGCTTCTGCTGGAGAGGTGTTTGAAGCTCAGTGTTTACTCATTCCTCCTGGGTGCTCGATAGGGCCTTGCCTGGGATAATTAAAAGTAAAGCAGAATTGTCAAGTACTTTCTCCTTTTCTTTACTAACACTTTATTCCAGAGAAATCAGACAGGAAAGAATGGGTGGCAATTTCAGACAGAGATCACATGGTTTTGGGATTGTGGGTGCCTTACTCATGGCTCTTAATTCTGGCTGCTTATTATAATCACCTGATGCCTGGGCTCTATGAGGCTCAATTGACTCAGGATTGCTGTGGTTGGCTAGGTAAGACTGATTGCATAAGTTCTTCAGATGATTCTAGTGTGTGACCAAGATTATTGACTGGATGTGGAACCTGACTTCATTTACTGGTTCAGTGACCTTGGGTAAATAACTTAATCTCTTAGAGCTTCAATTTCTTCATCTGTGAAATGGGAACAATCCTATTCACCCAGAAAGATTGTTGGAAGGAATAAATGATGTGATGTACAAAGGTTTACAACTTACCTAGGTTCTCAAATAAGCAGCTTCTCATCAGTGGTTCTTAACTTTACAGGGATATTGTGTTAGTCTACTAGAGCTGTCATAACAAAATATCATGGAATGGGTGGCTTAAACAACAGAAACTGAATTTATCACAGTTGTGAAGGCTGTAAGTCCAAGATCTAGGTATCAGCAGGCTTGGTTTCTCCTGAAACCTTTCACAAAATATCACAGACTGGGTGGCTTAAACAACAGAAGCTGAATTTCTCACAGTACTGGAGGATGTAAGTCCAAGACCAAAGTGTCAGCAGATTTGGCTTCTCCTGAAACCTTTCTACTTGACTTGGAGATGGCCTTTACTCTGTGCTTGCACAGCCTGGTATTTCTTCCCCTTCTTGTAAGGACATCAGTCATATTGGATTAAGATCCCACCTTTATGGGTTTATTAACCTTAAATACCCCTTTAAAGGCACGATCTCCAAATATGGTTACAATAGGGGTTAAGGCTTCAGCATATGAATTTTTAGGGGTGAAGCAGTATAGACGCAATTCAATTCATAACAGATATGTATTCTTTGATTCTCAGATGAAAGCTAGGTTTCCTTTAACCAGAAAAATGCAGAGATACACAGGCATATCAGACCTGGCATACGTTTGTCGGACCTTAAAGAACCTTTTAGCAATAGCTAAAGCAGCCTTGCAGAAGAAGACAAATATGAAAGAGAGAGGGATGGGAGACAATGTATAACACAGAAGAGGCATCCCATTCTCATTTATTCCTTCATTCAACAATTATGCACAGCATGCTGCCCACATGCCAGCCATTGTGTGAGGATTATGGAACTGGCAAGGTCCCTGCTCTTAAGACTTACAATTTTTGTTGGGGGAGATAGACAGGAAACAAACACATATGTCATTAAATAACAGAGTACCAACTGCCATGTAGAGAATCAAAACAGAAAGATGCAGTGCTGTTTGCCTGGGAAGCAACTTAAATATCCTCACGGAGATGATGATGGTGGAGGCTTGAGTGACAAGGAGTCGGCCATGCAAATGAGGGCACAGGGTTTATGGATGATGAAGTGCCTGGTACTCTCTGGTTTATTTTAGTATCAGTTGGCAGAGATACCTCCTTTCACACCAGCTGCTTCCCAGATTCAGTTCTGCCTGCAGGGCAAGACTTCAGGATTTGCTGTGATAGGCATGACTGTTGTGGATTGCATCCCTAGCTTGGGATGTTTTCCTCTCCGTCCTCTCTGAAATGTCTAGGTCATGTGTTTGAAGGGGCAAGACCCATCAATTCAACCATCTGTTTCTCTAAATCCTCACTGACATTACCAGAGTTTCGTCACTATTTTCTTTAGCCTGAATTAAAGCAACCATGGGGGTAAGGGAGAGTCAGCACTGGTGGTGTGGCAAAGGCACAAGGAATATTTGCATTGAAATACATGTTTCTATAATGGTCTGATGGGGCCCTGAAGAATCCAGAGGGACCCCCAAACAGGAGCTGATAGGTCAGAAAGACTTCTAGAAGCTGAGACCTAAGGAGCCCCTATTGGCCTTAGGATAAATAGCAGAATCCTTTTGTGGCTTGTAGGCTCCTACAGATCTGGAGCCTGCCACTGTCTCCAGACTTGCTTAGCTAGTACTACCTTCCCACACCCTCTGTGCCCCATGCATGTTGAGGGCTTGAATGTATCACTGTCTCTGCATCTTCACAGGCTTTGCACATGTGATTCTATCCACCTAGCTGACTCCTTGCGCAATGGATTCTTGCACACTCTCAGTAAAGCTTTTCTCAGTAAACCCTATACTAGGTGGGGGTTTCCTGTCTCCCAGTCACTCCCCCCACCACACAAGCCTGTCAATGCTCTGTGTGCACTTTTTCAATCTGGAGAACCTGGAACCATTCTGTTTGTTTGATGTCTGTCTTGTCTGCTGGTTTCTTAGATTTCATAGGCATGGACCACATCAGATTTACTCACTAATTATTCTTCAGTGTCCGGCAAAGTTCCTGGCAAACAGAAGGTGCATACTGAAGGAAAAAGAAATCTGGGAAGTAATAGATGGAGCAGGAAGAACACAACCAAGAATGGTAAAGTGCCAGATGCCAAGGGAGGGAGAGCATGGAGTTTGCCAGTGATCAACAATGTGAGTTGCCAGACCAAAGGCTGAAGCTTCCTGCAAAGTTAGTATTATGGGGTAATTAGAAGAATCAACCACAGGTGGAAGAGCCAGATTATAGTGGATTGAGACCTGGGTGGGAGGTGGGCATTAGATATAGCAGGTGGATAGGGTTCTTGAGAATGGAAAGATGGAGTGCTTACAAGCACACATGTGGTCGACTGCTTGTTTCAGATCCTGCCTCTGCTACTTGTTTGCATGTGAGTTGGCAAATTACTTCAACCTCCTTGTCTCAGTCTTTTTATCTGTAAAATAGGACCCTAATGTATCTAGTTCCTAGAATTTACATGTTCTTGGCAATTGTATTGGTTATTATGTGGAATCTGAGCAGATAACAAGGACACATTTATTTTCTCATGCATAGTCTTCAGGGGGACACAGCTTGACTCCAGGCTTCTGGCTGGGGTCTGCTCTGTAAACAAAGTGTGTGTCCTATTCTGGGATCCAGGTTTACAGAGTAGTTGTTCAACAACAACCCTGGATGTGGTCTTCCTCTGGTTATCACAAGTACGTAAGGGGCTGAATCAAACTATCTGAGCGTGTTTAACTCTCCTGCTCACATCTTGTCCACTTACATCCATTGACCAAATTCATAGTCCAAAGTTGTTATATAGGGACCGTCCAAATTCACATGCCAAAGTCATTGTATAGGGACAGACACGCTGCCCTAAGGGGAGAGGAGTGAATATTTATGAAACACTAATGTAAAATGCTTAAATAGTGCCCATAGAGGTCTGTCTATACTGTAAAAAAATAATGTACTTCTGACAGTCTTACTGTGGGAAAAGCGGAAAAGAAGGGAGGAGTTTTTAAATAATAGTCACTTGGAGAGATTATTATATAGAGCAAGACTGGAGTGTGTTAATCGACTCATGGAAGGAGTCATTGGGTTGGGTGAAGATAAAAGAGCAAAGCATAAGAACTCAGCTGAGGTTTGGAAACATGAACTTAGAGTGCTGCTGTCTTCCTTATGGCTTTTGGTATCAGCAGTAGCCAAGGAGGCAAATGGTTAGATTGATAGATTTTCTCTGATCTGAGCTTTGTGTACTTGATTTTTTTTCTTCTCCCTAATCTTAAGCAGAGACTTAGATTGGAACAGTTGGTGTTTACAATGTTTTAATGGCTGTCATATTGAGAACTGACTGGAAGCATCTTTAGAAATAATTTACACCGCCATAAAATGCATTGCTAATCTTTCTGAGTGGATTCTTTAGCCTTTTGTTTGTTTTTTAATATACCAGCCAATGAGATCTAGACCAATGAGAAAATTGGTAAAATATTTTAGAAGCATTGTCTGATTTGAAAAGCTAAGTAAGAATATAAATCCTTTCCTAAATATGCAGTCACACTGTCTGCCATTTGCTTGACGTTTTGTTTCTTTAGTTGTATCTTGGAGCAATGTGCATGTATGTGATTAAGAGGTTTATGGGATGCACATCCACCAGCCCTGAGCTGTAGGAGGCATGGGTGGGAACGTGAGGGATATGGATGTGTGTTGATTTGAACCAGTGGTCATTATGTATCTTCCCTGATGGGCCCAGTATCTGAAGGGATGTAGGTAATGGTGTTGATTAACAACAACATTATTTATGGAATGTCTACCTTTATGGTGATGACTTGAAGAAGTGCAAATGCACTATCCTGGGTAGTGCAGATAAATACTTTAGGAGATTAAGGAATACAGGTATATATTGGAATAGGAGAGAAGGGTTTTAATGAGACAAACTGTATCACGAAGGATGCTTTTGTGTCAGCACAGGAATATTGCTGGCCAGTGTTTATTCATCTATATTACTGAAATAACATGGGCTAAGTTTCTCCCTGCTTAAAATGTTTATTGACTTTCCAACTGTTTAGTGAAAAAAAAAACTAATTTATTACTCTAATACCCAAAGCTCTATGCACCCATTGTAATGGGTCCTATATTTTTTCTCATAGTCTTTCCTGATTTTCTTGGCTTGGAAGTAAACATTTTCTTTTATAATTTTGCAACCTCTTATTATTACTCTCTCTGCAGCTTTTATTTCCACTTTCCCTTAATGCCATATCATCTGCAACATAACTATTGGCTAGCTTATTTTTGGTCTGTTGCATAGAAATACTCAAACCTTTAGCTTTCATAGTTTTTAAAATAGAGGACACATAGTTTCTTTTTTTTTTTTTTAATTGCGTTTTAGGTTTTGGGGTACATGAGCAGAGCATGCAAGACAGTTGCGTAGGTACACACATGGCAGTGTGTTTTGCTTCCTTTCTCCCCTTCACCCACATTTGGCATTTCTCCCCAGGTTATCCCTCCCCACCTCCCCCTCCCTCTGGCCCTCCCCTTTTCCCCCCAGTAGACCCCGGTGTTTAGTACTCCCCTCCCTGTGACGGTGTGTTCTCATTTTTCATCACCCGCCTATGAGTGAGAATATGCGGTGTTTCATTTTCTGTTCTTCTGTCAGTTTGTTGAGGATGATGTTCTCCAGATTCATCCATGTCCCTACAAACGACACAAACTCATCATTTTTGATTGCTGCATAATATTCCATGGTGTATATGTGCCACATTTTTCCAATCCAGTATATTATCAATGGGCATTTGGGTTGATTCCAGGTCTTTGCTATTGTAAACAGTGCTGCAATGAACATTCGTGTACATGTGTCCTTATAGTAGAACAATTTATAGTCTTTTGCATATATACCCAGTAATGGGATTGCCGGGTCAAATGGAATTTCTATTTCTAAGGCCTTGAGGAATCGCCACACTGTCTTCCACAATGGTTGAACTAATTTACACTCCCACCAACAGTGTAAAAGTGTTCCTTTTTCTCCACATCCTCTCCAGCATCTGTTGTCTCCAGATTTTTTAATGATCTCCATTCTAACTGGCGTGAGATGGTATCTCAATGTGGTTTTGATTTGTATCTCTCTGATGACCAGTGACGATGAGCATTTTTTCATATGATTGTTGGCTTCATAAATGTCTTCTTTCGTAAAGTGTCTGTTCATATTTTTTGCCCACTTTTGAATGGGCTTGTTTGTTTTTTTCCTGTAAATCTGTTTGAGTTCTTTTTAAATTCTGGATATCAGCCCTTTGTCAGATGGGTAAACTGCAAAAATTTTTTCCCATTCTGTTGGTTGCCAATCCATTCTAGTGACTGTTTCTTTTGCCGTGCAGAAGCTGTGGAGTTTCATTAGGTCCCATTTGTCTATTTTGGCTTTTGTTGCCAATGCTTTTGGTGTTTTGTTCATGAAGTCCTTGCCTACTCCTATGTCCTGGATAGTTTTGCCTAGATTTCCTTCTAGGGTTTTTATCGTCCCAGGTCTTGTGTTTAAGTCTTTAATCCATCTGGAGTTAATTTTAGTGTAAGGTGTCAGGAAGGGGTCCAGTTTCTGCTTTCTGCACATAGCTAGCCAGTTTTCCCAACACCATTTGTTAAACAGGGAATCCTTTCCCCATTGCTTGTTTTTGTCAGGTTTATCAAAGATTGTATAGTTGTAGATATGTTGTGTTGCCTCCACTGCCTCTGTTTTGTTCCATTGGTCTATATCTCTGTTTTGGTACCAGTAGCATGCTTGCTGTTTTGATTACTGTAGCCTTGTAGTATAGATTGAAATCCGGTAGTGTGATGCCCCCCGCTGTGTTCTTTTTGCTTAGAATTGACTTGGCTATGCGGGCTCTCTTTTGGTTCCATATGAAGTTCATGGTGGTTTTTTCCAGTTCTGTGAAGAAAGTCAATGGTAGCTTGATGGGGATAGCGTTGATTCTGTAAATTACTTTGGGCAGTATAGCCATTTTCACAATATTAATTCTTCCTAACCATGAACATGGAATGTTTCTCCATCTGTTTGTGTCCTCTCTGATTTCGTTGAGCAGTGGTTTGTAGTTCTCCTTGAAGAGGTCCCTTACGTTCCTTGTGAGTTGTATTCCAAGGTATTTTATTCTTTTTGTAGCAGTTGTGAATGGCAGTTCGTTCTTGATTTGGCTTTCTTTAAGTCTGTTATTGGTGTAGAGGAATGCTTGTGATTTTTGCACATTGATTTTATATCCTGAGACTTTGCTGAAGTTGCTTATCAGTTTTAGGAGTTTTTGGGCTGAGGCGATGGGGTCTTCTAGGTATACTATCATGTCGTCTGCAAATAGAGACAATTTGGCTTCCACCTTTCCTATTTGAATACCCTTTATTTCTTTTTCTTGCCTGATTGCTCCGGCTAGAACTTCCAGTACTATATTGAATAGCTGTGGTGAAAGAGGGCATCCTTGTCTCGTGCCGGATTTCAAAGGGAATGATTCCAGTTTTTGCCCATTCAGTATGGTATTGGCTGTTGGTTTGTCATAAATAGCTTTTATTACTTTGAGATACGTTCCATCAATACCGAGTTTATTGAGGGTTTTTAGCATAAAGGGCTGTTGAATTTTGTCAAATGCCTTCTCTGCATCAATTGAGATAATCATGTGGTTTTTGTTTTTGGTTCTGTTTATGTGGTGAATTACGTTTATAGACTTGCGTATGTTGAACCAGCCTTGCATCTCTGGGATGAATCCTACTTTATCACGATGAATAAGTTTTTTGATTTGCTGTTGCAATCGGCTTGCCAATATTTTATTGAAGATTTTTGCATCTATGTTCATCATTTTACGAGAGCAACATCATCCTGATACCAAAACCCGGCAGATACCCAACAAGAAAAGAAAACTTCAGGCCAATATCCATGATGGACACATAGTTTCAGTAGTATTTTTTTCTTTTGCTAACATTAAAACTCATGTGCACAGATACATATACACTTAATTATCTAATTTTGTAAAATTTGGTCAACACCAAAAAATGCAGACAAGAGAGTAGAAGAATAAAGAACAGATCTTTATGATGAAAACAACTGGCCAGTGGAAAGCTTACAGAGTTGTTTTGTTTTTTTCATTTTGCTGAGGACCACTTAGCCCTTCCTCACATGTTTCTCTCTTCTCTGGGAAGGCATTTGGGA